AAAAAAAATAAATAAAAATTGCGGGATTGGGCGGTTCCCATGGTGTTCCCCACGTGTTCCCCACATTTTTCCAACAAGGGAACATGTGATTTTTAAAACCTGCCCCAGGTATTCCATCTTTTGTCCATCGACCACGCAACAGTGAAAAGTCGGGGGTTTTTCTGAAGATTTTACCTGACCCCCTGAAGACTTAAAGCACCTTCTGCAGGTATACACCTACGTAACAGAGCAGAAAAGGTGGTTCTCCTTTTTTTTTTCAAGAATAGACCGTGACTCCCGCCAACTGGAATTTTTCTTCCAGATGTACACCAGATTACTCACTCCTGCGAGCAACTCATGCGATTTATTCCAACGAGTTGTTTTTTTCCACGGGTTAACCGGGAAATTATTTAGTCAGTGGAGAGTTGTGATGGAGTTTGAACAACCATTCCACGCCTGGACTTCCTCGAAACTTTTTCTTTATTCCAGTTATACTTTTGGATAACGGAGTCACTGACTAAAGACGCACCGGAATAAACTGATAGTCACGAGGGGAAACAGAGTTCCTCGAATTTAATTATTCGGAATTGCAAATTATCGCGGAAATATTTGGGAGGACTAAATATGGGAAAATTTCATGGAAATCCGGGGGTATTCCTTGAATTCGCGTTCACCTGCTTTTTTCCTTTTTTTTTCATTCAATGAAAATTTAGATAACATTCTTAATTAAATGGACATACGATCGATTTTTACCCGAACCCTTGGGGTAATGAGATTTTTGGAAAAAATAAAAGCTGCCCCATTAGAATAATTTATGAAATAATTTTGAGGAAAATATTCATCTGGAATTCTCGTGATTTCCAGTAATTGTTTATTAATTGAAGGAATAGTTCAATGAAAATTCAGAGTTTTCGGGAATTCTCGGAAATTTCTATAAAGTTATGCCTCTGATGGAAATTTCACAGATTTTATTAAAAAGTTTTTGAGTAAATGAGATTTTTTTTTAATGAATTAAAATGCAATTTTAGTAATTATTCCTCCAGCGATTTATTCAAATTAGAAAATAAACAATAGAATACCATAAATATATTTTTTGATATCTTAAAATAATAATTTCTGGAGACCGTTATTTCGTGATATGTATATGAGCAAAGAGCTCTGTAATTCGAGAATCGAGGGGTTGATTCGGAACAATAC